AGAGACTTTATTCCTAGGACTCTCTAGCAGCGTTTGCACAGCATGGTACATTTGTTGCCAGATGTAAAAAGATAAAGTACTTAAAATTGCTTAGCTGTGCTGTTTGTTATGGCTGACAAGTTCTCTAGCCTCTTCTCCAATAACATAACATCTGTGCTTAAAGTATTCATTTGAATGGTCATCCCCCCGCCCCCATAATAAGCCTGAGAATGTGACAGTTTTTAAAGCACAAGAGAGAGCACAGACTGAGAAAAACCCAAGAGATTGTGAAAATATGATTTTCAGTTCCTTCAAGAAGGTGTAGTCTTGTATGTTTACTTCAGATCTGATACTTCTAAGCCTCGCTTGCCAATAGCAGGCTTTCCTGTCATGGCTTAAGGAAAGGGTTTCCTGTAAAGGCATCCAGTTTATGTTTGGATTTATGAAGAACTTATTTCTGAATAACAGCACTAGAGGATCAAGACAGCGTGCCCAGTGGGTTCTGCCCAGGACATCCCCACTCTAAATGACTCTCTGACTCGAGGGGCACTACTGGCACTCGCTGGGAAGTCTGAACCATCATTCTTGTTTGATGGATGGGATTAGAACAGAGAATGAGAATGCATTAAATGTTCCCTAAGGGTTCTGCTTGCTGGTATCGGTTTACATGATTGGTTTCCCTCTGTTTATGCTGTCTGTTTTCCCCAAAGAATTTCCCGTAAACTCTGCCTGTCAATCCTAACCTTAATTGCTTTCATTTTCAATACCCTAATTGGTGCGTTTTACAAAGCAGACCAACCACGCTAGAGCCTGATGTGGATTCAGCTCGCGGGAGAGACTGCATTCGGCTCTGTAACAGAAGTGGAGTCACTGCAGTGAGAAGGGCCCGTCAGAGAGCCTGGCATGTCATTCGGCGATGCAGAGTAAATCCTTCCGTTCACTGCCTCATAAATAAAGTCTGTCAGGGAGAAGATCTAAGTGTAATACAGTTTGAAAGTTTTGAAAGGAAACCAATTTTTTTTTCTAGAAAAGAACCTTAACTCTAAAGAAACCAGAACTGTCACTCAAGCAGATACACAGCCCCCCATGTTTATTGCTGCTTTGTTCACAATAGCAAAGAGTTGGAAACAACCCACGTGCACATCAACAAACAAATGGATAGAGAAGCTGTGGTATATTCACACAGTGGAATATTATGCAGCACTGAAAAACAAGGAACCCATGAAATATTATACAAAATGAATGACACTGGAGGACATTATGCTGAGTGAAATATCTCAGTCACAAAAAGACCAATACTGCATAATACCACTATTCTATAATACGACTGATATAGCGGCTGAGAGGAAAATAAGAAAAGAGGGGATAAATAATGTAGATTGAAACAAAGGAAAGACCTGTATAAAAGTAATATATGATTAGGTATTATTGGCATGACAAGAGTCCAGAATAAGAGTTGCATAGTAAAGTAGCCTTGTGGAGGGGGGGTGGGCTGTAAAACAATGGAAGAACTTTTTTTACAAAGAAAAACACAGACTGGGGAAGAGGGGGGACAGGGAGGAAAATGTGCAACAATGAATGAATGGAAATTAGAAATCCAAGTTCTTTATAAACTTTCATTGAAATCTAATTAAAAAAAAGAACCTTAGTTGCTGATATATGCGTAGAAAGTACATGTTTCTTAAGCTTCTACATCAAGTGTCTATGAAGGCCTCTGAATGACATGCCAGTTAGTGAATGGTAAGCCAAAGGATGGTGGTTCAGATCCACCTTAGAAGCACCGGGGAAGAAAGTCTTGCCCATCTGTTTCAGTAAAAGAGCAAACCCAAGAAATCGCCGTTGAACTGCCTTGTTTTGTTCTGTAACACATGGGACTACAGTGGCTTGGACTTGACTCAACAGCAGTAGATTTGGTTTGGTTAGAGGATGTGATGCCTGATAGCAGAGTGTGTAAGGAGCTGGACTGCTGGCCCAAATGTGGTACCTCTCTGGTGGTTCAAAACCAGTAGCACTGAGCGAGAACGATGGGTGGGCTCCTTCTGTGTGATTTATTGTCTCTGAAACCTTCTAGGGCAGGGGAAAGGGTCAGCTATGTGTTGGTTTCAACTCAACAGTAATAATAGAGAAAGAGGTGTGAAAGGTAACTTGGATCTGACCTTGGAATCTCACCTGCAGTTTCCTACACCTTGTAGAGGCCCATCTTCTATGCTGTCCACTTCATGGCATTGCACCCCCTGTACTGTAATCAATACTTATTTCTCTAAATTACTCTGCATTCATTCATTCTTTCATTCATTCAGTAAATCGTTATTAAGGTTCTACAGTGTCTCAGAATCTCTCCTGCACAAGTATCATCTGTCCTCATCCTTCTTGGAACTGACATTCGAGAGGGAGAAAGCAGTCACTGCTTGAGTAAATTGATGAAATGAACATTTCAGTCTGTGGCAAGAGAAATGAAGAAAATAAATGGGGCAAAGCGACAAGGAGCATTTGGAAAAGAAATGGTGGTGGCACCATTCGTGGTCTGCTGCTCTGAAAAAGGGATACTTTATTTAGTGTGACCAAATAATGAGAAAATAGAATCTGATGATGACATGGGAAACGTGCATTCTAGGGAGAGAGAATGACGAGTGGTCCCAGGTGGAAATGAAAAGAATGTGATCTTACTATGAAAAAAAATCCGTGTCCTTTCATCCTGAGAGGAGAAGGAGAAGCTGTCCGAAGGATAGGAAGGATCCAGACTGGACTGGTTGATCAAGATGTTGAAATGTTGTTCTTACTGTATGTAAAGGAGCATATTGATAGGGAAAACTTAAGTAGCTAAAGAGAGCAGACTTGTGTTACCCATCTTTGGAGCACATGGTAAATGCAGAGTTTATTTTTTAAATGATGGTTGTGTGCTATCGAGTTGAGATCACCAACAGCTGATCCTCTGGTGGGTTTTCAGAGGCAGTAAATCGCATGGGAAGAGATTGTCCATCTCACTCCCTTAGAGCTACCGGTGGATTGGAACTGTGTACCTTTGGATTGCCAGCGCAACTTCTTAACCACTAAGCCACCAGAGCTGGTAGATGTTTATTTATTCTTATTTAGTAATTTACTTTCTTCTAAACCGTTTTATTAGGTAGAATTATATAGATGCCCACTTTTTACTGTGCATTTTTATGAGTTTTTACAACTTTATGGCTTGTTAAGCTACCATAACTATCAAATTACATTATTTCCTAAAATTTTATTTTACTACTTTGTAAAGAACCCCTTCTCCAACTTCAAAACCTTGTGTTTTCTGCCAGTATGGCCACAGAAACAGAATCATATAGTATGCATCCTTTTGAATTTGGCTTTTCACTTATCATAATGGTTATGATGAAGCCCATTCTTAGATTGTATCAGTAGTTCCTTCCTTTTTAATTGCTGCATAATATTCCGTTGTATGGATGTACCACAATTTATCCATTTTTTTAAAGACACTTGTATTATTTCTAGTTTATAACTATCATGAATGAAGCTACTATATACATATATCACATTTACATTGAGATGTTTGTTTAAATATAGGTCTTCATCAATCATACGTGAGATTGCAGGCTCATAGCATATGCATATATTTAACTTTAGGAGAAATTGCCAACCTGTTCCCTAACATGTCTCCACCACTTTGTGTTCTCGCCAGCAACAAATGAGTTTCTTTTTTGCTGCATATCCTCCAACATATCAGATTCTTTTATTCTTATTTTAACCATTTAAATCGTTACAGAGGTAATATATTTTTTTAAAACTTAAAAACAATAAATGTAAGGATCTCTTTAGTGTGGAGAGGAAGAAGATAATGTGTAGTGGACTCATTTCAGGTACTTTCTGTATTAACCAGAAGAGACTGTATGGTCTTTGTTGAGAGCCAGATAAAATAAAACTAAAATTCAATCTTTATTGGGAGCCAGATAAAATAAAACTGGTATTATAGGCCTGTGCTTTTAGATTGAAGGCTTTTCTAGGAATCTAAATTTGAAGACTTAACTTCTTGAATTATGACAATCTTAATTTCTACCACTCCTGTGTTCAATAGTTTACTCCTAAAACTGTTTTGTTAGAGATTTCCCGGAGCACCTCTAGTCAGGATAACAGCGTAGTGAAGTCTTACCTCCAGACTCTTCAGCCTCACGTAAAACTATGTGAATGTACTGATTCGAAAGTGACTTTTACTTCTGCATTAGATAATTGTTAGAGCCTAAGGAATAGACTGAATAGAGATAAGATTTCCATACTTAGAGATTGCTTTTGCCAGATCTTCAGAAATATCATCCTCCTCTTGGTTTATTCAGTGAAGATCTTTGAAGGACTAGAAAATGCAGAGCTGTTTCTAGAAATCGCAGAGAAGCATACCATACAAGACCAGAAAATCTACTAATCCCTTGACTGTGTTAAAACAACAACAAACCACTTAAAAAAAGCCCAAACACACATACTTCTATCCATATGCTAATTGCCCGTTATTCTAATGGAGAAAATATTTAGCTTACCTTTCTATGTAAGAACGTGGACTTCCTACTATGACAAAATATCTAGACCTTTCTAGGAGCCGGTACTTAATTTCTTGCATAAAGAAATGAATGTCATTAATGTAGGAAAAGCTTAGCCACCTTAATGAAGCTCTTACTGTTTTTACTTTTGTTTTTCCCTCAAAGAAATGGAGAGTTGCTTCTTCTCTTCTTTGAAACTATGCACAGTGCTTCCCCCCCAACTTGGTTAAAGGCACTGAGTAATATGCTGTTGGCATAGAGAGATATTTTGTACGGCCAATTTTTATAAAATGACTCCAAGTTGTCATTTTGTTCAGAACGATTGATTTCCCTGAGTGAAACCAGATAGATACTATAAATCTCCTGGATGTGCCTGCTAACAGTTGGTGGGAAAACACGAGGGTGGAACTCTGTCTTTCCCAGAGGTGCTGGGCAGTGTTTGACTAGCAGCCAGGCACACAGCCTCTTCATGATTCTTCTTTTTTTGTTTTCTGTTTGCAGATTTTATTCTTCACCGTACAGTATTGCAACCAACCGCATGATTCCACAGACATCTATCACGCCATTCATTGCTGCTTCCCCTGTCTCCACATACCAGGTATGTCCAATTTACCTGCACCTCAGGAGAGAGCTCCCTTGCCAGCAATAGATGCTAGAGGACCAGTAGGATAACGGTTGGAGGAAAAGCTGCTCTCCTAGACTTCAGTTACACTTCAGTGTACTCACTTTCTGGTTATGAATTAGCCTATACTTTCAAAGAGCTGTTTGCATCTATTTCACTAAATAATAAAACCCACCATATGTTTTGTTCTTTCTGTTGTGTGTTTATGATTATGCTACTTTTCCAGCTTTCTCACCATGGAGAAATGATTGTGTTTCTTTTTATGCTATTTTGGTTGTTTATGTTTTCTCTTTTGCCTTTTCTTAGAAGCACAATTCTAGAATTTCTCTCCCTCACTCCAGGATGTTTTACCATTGCCATCTCATTTTGTCGTGCTGTCCTGGTGAAGTTATATGGAGAGATGTTAAATCCTATTTCCTAATAATAATAATAATAATGGAAGTTTATCAGAGTTGTAAAAATAAAAAAAATATTCCCAATCCCTGTTCTCATTTCATTGTCAGCTCACAAGAGGTCACAAAAGACCTCAGGGGACCATGAGCTGAAAACTTAGAAATTCTCTGAGTCTCTCTGTGTCCTTAACTAGACGTTGCAATCAGCTAATTTCAAATGTGCAGGTGGGCTGAAGGATCACACTCTTTCATCTTTTATCTCTGAGTTAGCAGATATAGTCTCCTCCCTGTTCCACTCTAGCCAACACGGTTCTGCAAACAATTATTCGTCTCTACTTAGAAAATGCCTATCAAAACAGCCTGCAAGGAGACAGTGGCTAGGGTTGGTTTGCAACATTTTGGAGCAAGAACGAGAAAGAATGGTAGAACGCAAGCGTTTGCCTGCATGTACTTGTAGATAATTTGCCGAGGGTGGGGTGGCCGTTCTGTGGGGGGGGGTAATGTGGACTGCTGTGACTTCAGTGAAGTTTCACCTTACTCAGCCACTACTTACCACTCTGTCGGAGCGTCAAACTTGAGCCTATATGCCTTTTTCCTCATTAATGGCCCCTGAAGCACATCGTTTTCACTCCTTTTCTGCACTTTGACTCTTGAAATACATTGATAGGTAACGGCGTAGACGTTTGTTGGAACTGCATTCGGTGGTCTCACAAGAGCTCGAGTCTTAGTTGCCTTTCCTATGAGGCTGCTTGCAGGTGCTGTTGAATTTTTGTTCCTTGTGCAGGCCTGCCTGGTAGGAATGTGTAATTCTCCCCTCCCACCCTCCCTCCCCCTTGGCCTCTGTTTCAGCCAAGACCACCCATTGAGCTCTGGTGTAGAGCGCTTTGGTGACATGAATAAAATATCCACAGAAAAGTGATTTCACTTGGGAGGGCTCATAAGTAGAATTTAGCTCCAGCTCTCTTTTCTCAAAAAGGGAATGAGAGCAAGTTCACATGTTGTAGATTCTCGCCTCTGACCACTTCTTCTCCTTATTTCTTGCCTATTTTTTTTAGTCTAAATTGCATTAACAAATCCATCAGCATGAGTATATTGAAAAACAAAATCTTCACAGTTCCCCTTTTGACACTTCACTCTTATAATCTGATGTTCTCATTTGGCTGTCGCATGGTGTATCTCAAAACAGTTGGCTGGCTCAAAGAGTCACTTAATTACTGATTGTACAAAGCACTGTATGAGGGGGCAAAAACCCTGCAAAGTTGGTTAACTTGGGTTTAACCCAAAGCCTTCCCCAAAACTTCTGAATGTTCTGTTTAGTTCTTATCTCAGCTTTTCCCTCTTGGACATCTTTCCAAGAAGAGATCACCTGAACCTTTGAAGGTTCCTTTGAAGTAGAACCAATAATACAGAAAGGGCAACTCTAGCAGCCAACTCTTGCCTTTTTTATACGTAAGAGCATCTCAAGGACTTCACCACCATATAATCTCTAAAGTCTCCTAAAACTAAACCTCTATCACTAACCTTAAAATAGGGCTCAAGACCCAGCCTGGAGTGTAAGGGCATTGGACCCAGCTCCTGTGAAATGACAAGTTCCATTTTTATCCTATTTCAGAGACCAAACTAATGAGGTCTAAGACTTTCTTTCCTAACCTTGGCTTTGAACACTAACTAGCTGTAAAGTCAGATGGACTCCACTTTCTTATGTCCTAGTGTGACTCCACTGAACACAAGAACCAAGTTCTCTCTGTAATTGCCTTGTGCTAATAAGTGCTGTTTGATGCATAGGTCCAGAGTACTTCATGGATGCCTCATCCGCCATACGTTATGCAGCCAACAGTAAGTGTTCTCAGTCTCCTGAGGCTAAATATTTCTATTATCCAAGTGCAAGCGTGTGTCATGCGTAGAAGCTTTGGGGTAATGCTTTTGTTATATCTTCCACCTCTTTCAGGCCACTATTATTTTTCCCCTTAAAATTCTGGGCCTGAATTTCTAACAAAAGCATGAAGAGAGAAAAGGAGAGAGAGAGAGAGAGAATAGAAACAAACTTTTTGGAAGAAATAGCATTCACTCTCCAAAACTGATGCCTGGAATCCGTTTAGTAGTGGGATGTTTCGGAATATAGGGACTTGGAACTCTGGGCAATGAAATCGATTCTGGACAGAAAGCAATTCTTTTTGTTTGTGTTCCTTTTCTTTCTGGAATTACTTTACTTTCTTTGGATACAGTTTGATATGCTCTGGGGGAAATTTGGATGATCATATCCAGCTTTAGACTAGAAGGCAATAGATCTGAACTTGGCAGGTAGTTGTCTGTTAAGAGATGGAGATAGACCTATAGCAAGGCAGAGAGATGGTTTTAAGTTAACGCTCACTAATATCTTTTTCTTTTATGAGAACTTTCTTCTAAAAACTTAAAACTCTGCAGTTAGTTCCCACTTAAAGGGATGCTGTGTCACTTCAAAGTTTAGAATGATTCCATGTTTGATTAGGTTATAGATTGAGGAAAGATGTGCTATCCGTCTCTGTCTAGGTCTTTAGAGGTAGAAAACAGTAGTAGATTTCAGTAGTGGCACATTCAAGGGAGCAACAGGAGAAGGTCCTCTGGACTGGAAATTCCCTGACGAGGACGTGGGTCCACCATCCCAAGTATGCTCACATCTGTGCTGTTCTTTCCATTTCGCTCTCTCCACCTAATGAGCTTATGGAAGGAACAAGTAAGAGCCTGGAGTAAAAACCATTTCAAAAGGAGCCATGCTGTCATCCTTCCTGTGTCAAATATGCAGAGACAGTGTCCCATTTTAACCCTTTCAAAGGCAATCTTTAAAAATGGTGACTCAAACCCAGTTGCTGTTGAGTCAACTGCCGCTCAGACCAATTCCACGGAACAGCGGAGGGGTGTCCCGGGGGGCGCTGGTCTGTAGGCAGTCACGCGGCCAAAGGAGCAAGTGTCTGGCAGTTCAAATGACAAGAAGCCCTTCAGGAGAAAGGTGGACAGTCTCTTGTGTGTAAAAACCCACCGGAGCTTCAGCCTCAACAGCGATGAGAGGGAGAAATATAGAGACAGCCTTTTCAGAAAGAAGACGACCACATTTTCTTCCTCTGAAGAAAATGGAGTGACTGAGGCTGCATTGGGTCAAATAATTAACTCTTCAATTCAAGGTCAAGGACTTTACTTAAGGCACCACCAGGTCTCCTTTGTAAAAAAATGATCATATAATAAAGACTAGTAAGCTTAATAGGACTGCTAGGGAAACAAACAGATTTGTCCTGGAAAGGGTTAAACCAGGTGGCTTCTTGGAGGCAAGGATTCTGAGGCCCCGTCTAACTTACTTTGGACATGTTGTGAGGAGAGACCGGTCCTTGGAGAGGGACATCATACTTGGGAGGGTGGAGGGACGTCGCAGGAGAGAAAGGCCCTCTATGAGGTGGATTGATTCAGTGACTGGGATAATTGGGATGGGAGTGTCAGAGACGGTGCGAATGGCACAGGACAGAGCAGAGTTTAGGGCTGTTGTACATAGGGTCACTATGAGTCGCAAGCGACTCGACGGCACATAACAACAACAACAACAACAACAACAACAGTAAGCTTAATGCCTAGATGGGTATTTGCTGGGATAAACCCAGCAACTAATTTCATATATGAGTTTTTTCCTTAAAAAAAAATAAGGAACATTCTGTTTTGCATCTAAGATTTCAATGTCTTATTTTCACTTTAAAAAAGAAAATGTATGTAGCTTATCATAGCAAAGGCCTGGGACATATTTTATGAATCTCTCTCTCTCTCTGCTATTGTGTACCCATCTTTGGGTTTCCTGGGCTTTTCTGGGTGATGCTCTGTGAACTGCAGCACTAGGTAAAGGCTGCACTTTTCTATCCCACGCACGAGGTAGGACCCAGGATGCACTGCCAGGCCAGTGGAGAGCTCCGACTGAGTCACCACAGGAAAGGGAAGGAGTCTTGTTCAGATTTAAAGATGAGACTTTCTAGACAGAAACTACCATTTTCTAAGAGGATAGCGAGTTCATCCATTTCATCCATCCGTGCAACAGGGATGCTGGTGGAGTCCTCACAACTGAAGTGAATAAGAATCATCTCTTTGCAGCGAAAAAGAATGCACATCTGGGAACTTGGGAGATTTGCCAGTCTGTTAGGTTCTCCAGGATTTCTGGTGCATGAAGGGCAGGAAGCGGGGTGGAGCGATCTTCCTTTCAGCTGCCACTCAGGACCTTGGCAACATTTTCCAAGAACATCTCCCTGCATCCAAACCCAACCTTAGCCTCATGCTTTGAACTGTTAGTTTGCCCACATCTTCTTCTGTGTGTGTGTGTGTGTGTGTGTGTGTGTGTGTGTGTGTGTGTGTTTGTCCCTTTGGCTTTTCTTTGCCATGGCTGTTGCTTATTGATACCATCTCACTTCCCGTCAGTAGACTATATATTACAGAGGGCCCACAAACATGGAGCATTTGTGTCTGGGTGGATCCTGGACAAAAGGAGTGGCCAAGGCTGTTGTCTTTAACATGGGAAGTTTGCTAAACAACATCACAGACCCAAGCTTTTCACCATTCGCCTGTATCTTTTGACAGTGTTGCTTGGCTCTGTATTCTAGAAATACTTTTTTTCCCAAAAGGCCCCCATCTCTCCATCATTAGCGTGGTGTTAAATTAGTCTTTGATGCTAAAATAGTGAAAGAATCAAGTGATCTACAGCCAAGTAGCAAAATAATTGAGTCTAAAAAGAAATCTCTTCATATGATCCCCATGAAACTGCCAAGTGGCGTAATGATAGAATGAAATACATCTCGAATTCTATGTGGCAAACTAAATATTTCCTGAAGGGTTGACTTGATGGCTAATAGCCTGCGGTTTGGGTTTTGCTTTGCAGATAGAAGTCTGTAGCAGATAAGTACGCTGAATAAGATTCCTAAGATTCCTGAGCTGTGGGCAATAATAGTCAAGTCCTGGGCTTTTCATATGCATCTTAAAAGTTGAACAATGAGAAACGATACATAAGAAGACATCGATGCTTTTTAAATGTGATATTACAATAGTGAATATGCCATGAACTGTCAAAACAACAACGGTGGCTGCCCTGAAGGAAGTACAACCAGCATCCTCCAAAGAGGTGAAACTTCATCTCCAATACATCGAGCAGTTTTTGGAGAGATGCCAGTCCTTAGAAAATGTCATCACCACCCTGGGAAAGGGAGGAGGACCAGCGCAAGGGGGAGAATTGACACAGCGACTCTAACAACAGACTCGAGCGTGTGGGAGATTGTGAGGCCGGCACAGCAGAGGACGCCTTTCAGATCTGTTGTTCCCAGGGTTGCTATGAGTTGGAGTTGACTTGACAGCACCTAACAACTGATGGTATATTTGATCATTAAGTGAGTAAAGTACAAAATCTTTAAAACTAGTCCCTAGCAATTAGAAACTCCTTTAACTTATTCTTAGTACTTGGATACTATTATGTATCTTATGTGTTAGATTTGACTTTACACTTTAGCAACTATATGAAATGAGTATTGATCGAGCACATTGAGAAAGAGCAAAAGTCACTTATTTCTACCACAGCCTTACTGCTCATTTCTATTACACGGCCAGTGTGGTTTTGGAGGTAGCTTTTGTAGTTGCAGATTAAACACATCACCTACCTTGCTTGGTATTTATTTTACTTCTTACTAAACCATTCAGTTGCAAACTCTGAAAGAAATGAAAACCCATTTAGACCAGTAACTAGAACCTGCTTTATAAATGGATTCAATGCATCAGTGTCTATATGTTTTGTACATGTTGCCTGCAGTATCTATCTCCTTATAGTTGGATGTGGGTTTTTTTCTTCCTCAAACATTTTTCTGACTCCCACTTAGGGGGGAAAAAAATCTCAGGTAAAACTCTCACCACACAGCTCTGCTTGGTCCCAAGCACCATGACTCAGATGGGCTGTTGCTTAGAGAAGGGAGCTTTGTGACCAGAGGAGCCTTGAGGTTCTCTCTCAGCCTTGATCTTGGTGCTACAGGATCCCAGTCAGTTCTGCACAAAGAGAACCTCACAGTCAGCAAAGAGCAGAATGGCCTTGGTCCCTCCCAGGGCAGAGGAATAGTTAAACCAGAGGGCTTGAAATAAGATAGAAACGATATGTGTGTCACAAACAAGGGAAGGAAGGGTAGGGAAGAATAGAGAGCATCAGCAGAGATCTTGCTTCGACTGGCCACTGAAGGTGCTTTTCTGGACATTTAATTTTCTGAATTGTGTGCAATCTGCTTTTCAGTAGACTTAGAACTAAAATCTGAGAGGTTTCTCCTGTTGAGGAGGACGTGATAATATAGCCGCCCAGCTGTAACCTAGTGTTTGTTCAGGATTTACATCCTCTCAGTTATTGGGACCAAGGACCTTGTCAGACCCTACAGAGTGCAGCAGGGTCACTTGAGTTTGCTCTTGTCATAGTGCCCTGAGCAGAGAGAACAAGCAAACTGAATTAGGATTCACTTTATGCTGTAACGAAGCAAAAATGCTGACTTTGTCTTTGCAATTGGTTTTTGTTTCTGCTTCTCGGCACTGCATCCCCAAGTCTTATCATTACGGTGACAGGATTTTAATAGATGATGGATGACACCAAATATCTTTTCTGCACTGTTGCATAATGTCACATTGCAATCCCGTGTGAACGTACAATGGCAGTTCTCATGTTGCCATATGTGGAACGTTTTGTTAAATCTGCACTATTGACAAGACAAAAAGATGATACATCTCTGTAGGAAGTGTGGTTCCATTTCTTTACGTTCAACTTAGGCTTGTTTCAATCATATGGCTTCTGATTGTCAAAGAGTAATTTCCTC